AGCTTTCCGCAAACCTTCCATGAAATTCCCGTCCCCAGCTTTAAAAAACCGGCCTGCATCATGTCTCTTGCTCTTCATGCTCCTAGTTCCATTCGCCATTCGCCTCCTGAGATACTTCTCAGGCCCGTAATGTTGAGAACCTCTCAACGTCTCCACCATATTTACAGTCTTCTAAGCTATCTGATCTTAGGAATCAATTCGTATGCGTTTTTCGCGTGCACCTTCCGCGATCCTTCTGCGAAGCCAACCCCTTCCGCGATCGTCCACATTCCGGCCGGCGCACATTTGTGAGATGCATCTCAAGTTTTGTGTCGCTAGCAGAGTAAGGGAAGACTGGCAGAAAGAAAGCCGCCGCTCACTTGGGTTTTGCGGTCCAGTTGAGATGATTGTCACGAAATTTGGCACACCCCCTGATGTCACGCAGCCAACTTATCCAACGTCACTTGGCTAACTTATTAAGGGGCTGGGGATGGAGTGTACACTGGCAGCGCTGATTGTTGGCAGCATGTGGCAGGGCGCTTTTTGTGTCACCTTTGTCGTCCTGCTTCGTTGGAAAGACTTACTAGCTAGGTCCTTGGGCGATATTTCAGTTTACGATCAGACGGCAGCAATGGACGAGTGGTGCATCTGGGCGCTGGAGCGTCAGTCCAAGCCGTGAGAAGCCGCGAAAAGCCGTGTCAAGGGTCATTGAGGTCGAGTCTACTCGCTGTGCCGCTGTGCCGCAGGCGCTACCATGCAGCCAGAACATGCGTGACCCCTGGGCCTGGCAGCGCCCAACTGAAGCGATGCCGCCACCACTCCACAGCTCTGCACTGACCGGGGCATAGTCCCGCATCCCATGCTGAAGGAGACTTTTGCATACGCTTGCAGCACAACAGTCGTTGAAATCGTCACGGCTGATCTGATCATGACGAGTTTGCAGCGTTGCTGGTCCCGAAACTGCAACACCGCTAAGGTCAAATTGCCAGTGCGTAAGGCGCAAAATGTTCGGCAACTGTCTAAGAACTGCCCTCGCGCCAGCGCTTACTCGACTTCCTCGCCTTTGTTCGTGGTCTGCAGCGCGAGCTGGAGGCTCTTAAGTTGGGCAGCCCCAGAGGCGAGCTCCCTTCTGAGGAAGCACCTAGGTCTGCAGCAAATCCCTCTGCAAAGAAGAAACTGGCCGGCCATACTTGCCAGCGACCTGTATCCGTAGCCTTCTGTGACCTGCCTCTCCCAAAAGCATTTTGACATGAGCACCCCTTTTGCAGGAGAACTACCCGCAGAACCCGTCCAGGCTTGCTGAGGGTGCCAAATTGGAGAAACGGAATCCCTGCGATGCTGACGATGCTCGCCCTGGGAGCCAGCCTCATGACAAGTAGCATCAAGTAGCATATCAATCTTCATCTCAAACGCTCAAAGATACAAGGAAGTTCCATGCGACAGCGCAATTGCAGGCAAGGTGCCAAGATGCCCGCGTGCGAGCACGATCTCTAGCCAACATGCGGGACTTGTAAGGTCTTACAATTACGAGGTACACATGGGTAATCCCCACTAGCCTCAAATACTATCACATCCCTCTGTTTGACAGTCATCCGATAATCCCTTGGCACTGACGGGAGCTCTTTACATCCTTTTTGATCGTCAAAAATCACGCCGGTGAGTTTTGTGCGGAAACGTGCACAAAAACAATGCCTGAACATATACTTTTAGATGCCCTTCCCCCCGCAGGGCATACGCGCGCTCAATGCGACTTTAGGCCGGGCGATGCTACTTAAATCAGTCGCGGCAGCTGCATCAGGGGTCCGCTTCTGCTTGTCCAGGTTTGAAGGCCGCCCGCACACGCTGTATCAAGCCCTTTGGCATTCAGAAGGGCTAGACGACATTTTTCGACATGAACGTTTGATGATTTTGCCTTGTTGTATGATGGTTTGATGCAGTTTTCTCGTGGTTGTCATGATGGTCCTTGGCTCCAGGGCTTCTGGTGACTTACAGTGGTTGAAGCAGCTGAAAACATGATAATCAGTATAAATGAGAAAGGGAATCCAGTTAGGAGTCCAATATCAGTGTCCTTGCAGAATGCCACAAGATGGTCCACCCTAAACCCTAAACCCAACCCTAAACCCCAAACCCTAAAACCCCAAGGGAGGGAGGGGGGGGTGGTGCCGAAAACCCGGGGGGCGCGGGGGGGGGGGGGGGCAGAATACTTGTGCGATGATTCTATGCCATTTCTTGTCGGAATGTTGTGAGGACTTTGTATCAGAATGTTGCTTCTGGCCCGCAGGCTACTGCTGCATGCGCTGCCTGCACTTAGCGCAGTACAGAAATTCGCGTGCCAGGATTAAGGTTGGGGGATTTAAAGGCAGCAGGGACGTTAGGGTACAAACGGACTAGGCTTGCAGCCTTGGGGTTTGAGGTTGAGAGCTGAAGGATTGGGATTTCTAAGTCGGGGAGCGCTGGGTGCTGGAGCCGATGAGTATGGTGATGATGATGATGATGATGATGATGGTGATGATGGTGATGATGATGATGATGATAACCATCATCATCATCGTCGTCATCATCATCATGGTCATCATCATGATCAGGATGAGGATGAGAAAGGGGCCCGGGCCCTGCGGCTACGTAGTGCGCAGTGCCCTGTCCTAGCAGGTGACACACTGAGGCGCGCAGATGGAAGCCCTTACTCGAATTACGTTGTTTCACGTCGGCAGATACCCCACTTGGGCAAAGACCTGTAGATGTTCGTGATATTCCGCGAACAAACAGCAGGAGGATGCCTCATGCATTGTCTGTACGGGCGTATCAATCCTGATCCACGCTGCCCTGCACTTCGACTACTATCCGGCTTGCTCCCATGCAGCTCGAGCTACGCTGAACCACACGACTGACACCTCCACGGTGCCAAAGTTGGACAAACTTTTGAAGTCCCTGATGCTTCCCTTTTGAATGCACTCCCGCCCGTCACCGGCCGCAGTGAACGTAACTTGGGCTCTTAGATGAAACCCTGTCGACAGAGAAAGGGAATTGATTCGCTTGACTGCCCCGTGCGCGATTTGCGTTACAGTTTCATAGCAAAATGCCGTGAAGGAGTCTCTACCTTGCAGGTCTTCCCAGAATTGCTGCTCCGGCCGCCAAGTCACGAGCCACGAAAACAACGATCCCGGCAAGGCCAAGCACTGGAAATCCAAACAGCCAAAGGAAGCTCGCAGCTTCTGATAAGCGTTATGGTCCCCAGGCTTTTTTTGACTGGCTGCCCAAGATAGAACCCCCTGCTTCAGATAACAAGTCACTGATCCTCTCTGCGGCGCGTTAAAAATCACAATGTTCCTGCTTTCCATTCCAAGCGATGAGACAATACCTCTCTGCGTTATGAATCAAAATGGTGGCCCAATCGAGCACTAGGACCACGTAGAAAACATCTCCAGTGCGAAGAAAGGAACAATCAGACTCGTTGGGCAGGGTGTGATTCCGGCTAGAATGCAATAGTTGACCCCTCTCGCAACTTGGGCTCGCACCAACTCGTAGGACAGCAATGTCCAAATGCCAGCATCCACGAGAGGCACGGCCTGCACTGCCCCATCATGGTTCAGTTATTTTGACTAGGCAGCACGAGCGGCAGGTGGGCCAGACCTGTGGTGGGTTTCGTGCTGCCAAAGAGAACCTGAGAAGCGGCACACACGCTGCCAAGCAGCATGAGCCAAATGAGCTATTGCCAGGTGGCTTGTAGTGCATTCCAGGGATGCCTTCTGGACCGGCGATGATGGAGATCTTGGAAGTCAAGCGTTGTCTGGGCAATCCATCAGTCCAAGTTCTGCATCAAATGAGATGGACACAGCGCACATATGCGCACATGCTCATTCTACCTTGAAAAGTGCACGTCTCTATCTGCAGCTGTGTGACCCTGGGCTGTCCGGTTGCCGTGATTTGTGCGTAGAGGCACGTGGAGTCATATGGCAGCTCCTGTCGCAGCTGGCAGTCGTCACACCATTAGTGCAGTGGCTTCATTTTGCAGTGGGAAAGCACAAACTCATGTGCGTTCCGGGTAGTTCGTCGCGGGCTTGGGCTGGCAGAACTGCTGGAACATGAAATTTGGAGGCCTGCGTTGAAATTGGTATGGCTCAAAGGTGTTGCGAGCTCTTCCGGCACAACTGAGGCCAGCACCCGACAATCACCAGACCCCCTCCTTCGGGAATAGTCCTGAACAAGTTGTGGAACACCCGCAAAGGATGTTGCATCTGTAGAGGGTGCAGGGCAGATCTTTCACAATGATCATCTTAGGAGACTGCGTGATGGTGCGCACTGCAAACGTGATGTCTACCGCCAGGTCCATGATGCTCGTGGTGTACGTGATGGCCTCAGCTGTACAATGTTTTGTCTCATAAGCATGAAAAGCGCAGCAATGTTGTGAAGGAATCTATCCTACTGTAAGGCATCGGCGCCGTTGATTAAGCGCTGAACAACAGGGGCTTCAGCTGTGCCTGCCTCCAGGCGGTTTGCAAGAAGGTCCTGAACATAGAAAGTGATACACCAAGAAAGGTGACAAGAGGTTATCGAAGCACACAAGCAGCAAAAGCCTCGTTGTATCCAAACTCGATGGTGAACTGGTTGGCAGACCCAGTTGGGGGAACCTCTGAGTTAAGCAGTGGCGGTTCAAAATCTGTTTTCGTGTTTATGAGGGCTGGGCCATGGGAATTCGGATCTTGCATGCGAAGCCATATTTCACACCGGGCCTGGGGCACCCAATCGAATTTCGCTTTTAGAGCCATGGAGAAATCTCTTGGCACGCGACGTCCAGGCCAGTTGCATGTAGTCCTGGCATGGCTTGGATGGCTTGGTCTGAGTAGAAAAGGTTTGGAAACTCAATCGTTGTCAGGCAGGCCATGGTCAGGACCTGCAATGAGGTTTTGGACAGGCGATGTTTTGCGATTTGCCATCAAGCATCTTATGAAGTGCCTAGCTGTAAGGTGCGCGCATTCTTGGGCTCCGAATTAGGACGCGCCGGCTTGCCGCTAATCGGAATGTCAGCCTGACAAAGACAGGAAGATGAACATCTGCAGCCAGCCCGTGAGATGCGCAACCTCCGCGCCCTCCACCACATTGAGCGGGTTCACACCAACACCAGGTGCTTGATACCTTGGCGGGATGTACTTACAATGCTGCGCAGGAATGCTCGACTGCGACTGCTTGAATCCGCTTCCAAAGGGTGATACCGGAAATCCACCTGCTCGAAATCCCACTCGTAGCCTGCTGGCGCAGTCACGCGGATAGCCTCAACGTTCCAAGACGCTACAACATGCTGTGGTACTTACTCTTCGCGTTCTCTGAGCTTCGTGGCCCGAGTGGTGGGGAATGACGTGATTATGGGAAGCACTGTGATGTCAGCTGGCTCAACCTTGTTCGTGATGCCCCTTCACTTCAGCACAATTTGAGAGGAACGTCGAATAAGTCCGGTTCCCCTGACACAGTGGGCCGCCGGGAGGAAAAGGCGACTTGGAAGTTCCTCTGCGCAGCAACGCGAGGATACTGCAGAGCAGGATGGACATGAGTCTCGTCATCTGGGCCGGCAGCGCAGCTGGCATGCTCTGCAAGTACATTCCCCAGCTGGTGTCTGGCCCCACCGGGACCTTGAGACAAAGCAATGGTGCTGTAGTTGCTGCGTTTGCTGTGGAGTCTTTTGTAGCTGATGCAACACCGCACCAATCAATTGGCAGGAGATTTCGCGAAAGGTCAATATTTGAAAGGGCAGACTGGCGCTGTCCCTGAAGGATCGATCGTCGCCATCTGGGAAACTCATTGCAGTGCACACCTGTCAATCAATCCGCACTGCTCAGAAGATACCCCGAACAGCCTTGAGAAATTCCTTTGCGCGGCGACCCCTCAGTCCCTTTCACGATATCAGACCGATTTTCATTGAAATTGTTGCTGCAACTGCTCCTCCCCATCATCATCACAATCATCATCATCATCATCATCATCATCATCCATGTCAACATCATCTTTTTTTGATCTTATGGCTAGCTAATATTGATCTTCATCCTCATCTTCATCTGCATCCTCCTACATCGTCTTAATCTTCACCTTCATCGGCACCTCCAACTCCGTCTTGAGCCCCACCACCTTCTGCCCACCCTCAACCTTCATCACTGAATATATTTGCATTTAAAAAAAAGCACGAAGTCCGCAAAGTTTGGGATTCATTGACCTGGTGCTCGCTAGCACACCCCAAGATTCTTCCTTTGAACCACAGGCACTGTTGACATGGCAGCACACGCACATCTGAGGGCAGCACGCGCTCATTCACCCGGGCTGTCTCATAGGTACCATCAACTCCAAACCCAGTTGTTTTCACATAGGTCCACAGACGCCTCATGTTGCATTACTTTTTCAAAGATGTGGTCCACCTTTACATGTTCAAGGAGAGCACCATTCGTTGAGCTGGGTTCGGACGTAGATGGCTGCATTTTTGACCTGGACTTGGAAGCCGTAGAATGTCTGCCTGACAAAGCATGCCAACTCTTTCAACCCCAGAATGGCTGCCTGGTTCCAGCCTCAACAATCGACCCGTTGTCGAGAGCTTGGCCCTATTGAAGGTCAGCTCGGAGTCCCTGACAAGATCAGCTACAGCAGGCTTCATGTAGCCAAGCATTGCTTCGTTTGGGACCCGTGCGAAGTTGGCGCGCCGACACAAGGAATCAAGTCTCCCGTTGGAAGTGGCGACTGCACAGCAATGACCCGCACAATCTCGAACTTAGTTCCACAAAAATGCAGAGACTCAGGTGAGGACAGTCCCGCGACCTTCAGGAATGTAATAGATGGCATCGAGGGCCGAGGCTGAGCAATACCTGAAACACAACCAGGCTTCCACACTAAACATGCAGAAAGCTGGAAAGCTCCCAAGTCAACCTCATAGCAACAAACTCGTAACTATGCTAGGAAACCAATGGCGCTGCTATGCTAGGAAACCAATGGCGCTGCAAATCAATGGGCTCTGTCTGCCATCAACCTTTGCAGCCGTGGTGCTGGCCGAAATCAAACCCGGAGGGTGAATCAACCTCATCGCGGGCTGGAAGCTTAAACATCGTAAAACTTCTCGTAGCCGGCGGCCGACAGGCATAAGGAAAAAAACCGTGATGCACATGAAACACCCAGAGCATCAAGACTTTGTTAACCACAACTAACAATACACCAAAACATGAGACAACAAAAAGTCGCTCAGAACCCACTCATCCCGCGTAAACCAGCGATTACCTCACGCAAATGCCCTCAACACCACGAGAAAACGCGTGTTCCAAAGAAACAGAGCCTGAAACGTCCAACGATCGCATGATGCAATGTGCACGAAGCAAAGAAAAAAGGGATCGCATGTGACTAGCCGACATTCTTTTTCAGAACTCCACGACTATCAAATACTGATACGCCGAAAACACGTTCAAACCCGTGATGATAAATCATGATTTGCTGCATCAAAGATCTCCGGGAGGATTCCGAATATCCGGAAGGATTCCGAATCTTCTTCTATGGGCTATGCAAGACCCTAAGGCCCTGCCGGGGCGAACCCCAAAGCCCGCGCACACTCCATCTGTCCGGTCTCCCCAGGAGGCAGAGCTGAGACCACCGCGAACGAAACTGGGGCCCCAATAACGTACCCAAACTACTTCCGCTTCCCCTTACTCCATTCCCCATATTCCATTCCCGAGTGGTACCGCTCTCTTCTCTACCGGGTGGTGCAAATGCAGCCGCCACCCATTCCCCATGCATTGATGAAGTCTGTTCCTTCAGGTGTTGACCTACGATTCGGGCGTTGTCCTCTCATACAAATCAGGGTTGAAAGGCAATGTGGGCCGATAAGTAACCTAACCAGGTTTACTGGAAGACACTTTCTCCGATCACGCCATTTATCCAGGAGTATGTTGAGATGAATGTCTCGCCCAATGCACCGCACTCATGGCAGTACCTCGAGCTTTTCTTCCCAACGACGACATAGAACACAGATTCTTCTCCTTCTCTCTCGTCTTTGCACGGATGAGGCTCTGGAAAACAATCCCCTCCAAGTGGTTCCAGCAATAACCTAAGCCCCTTCGAAATCTAGGCCTCCATGGCCACCCTACTTGGTAAAAGTAAGATGCAAAACCCGATAGAAACGAAGTCGCTGTGAACATGCCGGAAAATCCGAGATCTTCTGCCCAAAAGCCTCTTGTGTCAAATTGCAAAACACAGACTTTTTGGCTGGATTCCTGTAAAGGTGCGAAGCTGGAAAGTTCCCTCGAACACTTCTGGGAAGGCACCAAGACGCTGATGCCTCTTGAGGCTCGCCGAACAGTGTGAACACCCAAACAGGGACAAGCGGATAAACATGTTCAAGAAAAGGTCAGACACATTGGCCCTCTCTACCCACTAAGCCTCTGAGTGCTCTCCTGCAGACGAAAACATCTCTTCTTCCAAGATTCGACAAATCCTCCCCGAGACCAAGATTTTTGAAGGATGGAAATCTCCTGCAGCGGCCGAAGTACCTCGGTACCTCCAAACTCTGCTGCTTTCGCGATGCCGACGGCCCCCTTGCTGGTCCGTTTGCGTGTCCGGCGAGGCAACTTTCTTTGAGAGCTTCACCCCTCTGACATTGCAGCCTGAGCTGGGACTCCCAACACTGACTGGGTCGTGGGGTCGTGCTACTCAACCTTCGTAGCAGCCGTTGCACACGTTTCTGCTAATGTTCCGAGACTTGGGACCGGGGTTGCTAGGGGATGGTCTGTACAGCTCACACTGTAAGTGGTGTATCTTTATGGCCTCTTGCATCAAATGAAGAAACGCAAGCAGCATGTCCGTCCATGCCCAACAGAACGTTCAGTCATGTTCAGTCACTACGCTGCTATTGCTGCTCATATGTTTTGAAACCCCATGCAAAAACGACACAGAGCACCCCTAAGCAAGTGTGAGTGTGCGTCAGTCAGTGAGTGGGTGAGTGAATCGATGAGTGAGTTGGTGGTGCCCCAAGTCACGGGACGCGCAACAATCCCTCAAAAGCGAATCCCTTCCAGCTTCTTTGCAGGGTTCCGCAAGCGCCCTGTCGCCCCCTCGACTTGGAGTTCACGCAGGCTTGCAAGCATGTGCACAGCAACAACCAGGCACGCCCACCAACAGCAAAGCTGCCATCAACACAGCGTGCAATCGTCACGGATAAGCATGCGGTTCTCAGAAGGTTCCCTTCGGAGTATTACGTTACTAGGCCCCGGAGAAATCATCGCGTTTGCATTGAGCTAGATGAGGGGAAATGGCAAAGGCTTCACTCATCCCATCTCATCCCCCCACAGGCAAGTATCATGTCAATATGTGCCCAACACCCACCTTGGATGAGGGGTCGCTAGCGGGTGTGAATTTATGCTCTTGAGTTTGGCTCTTTGTGCCTCCGTCCACAAGCGCCGCATTTTCTTTTTAAGCAACCATTGACACACGACGTGTGAGAGGCACAGTGATGGTCGCACCAGCATCCCGGCCACAAGAAAACGGCGCATTCAGCAAACATGAGCAAACTCATGAAAACCGTCATCCAACATCTCCTCAGGAAACATGAAGCACATCGGGGCAAGGCCGCGTCCGACGTGGCATGTTTGCTCGATTGGGTTTTTCGCACCGTGGAAGAAGGCACGATGTCGGGCACAGAGTTCCAAGGTCCCCAACCATGTTCAACACGTAGGTGTAGATTACACAAATGGGAGGGCCTGAGCAATTCAATTCCATTTTCACCGATGTCTTGTGTACTCCTTGTGTACAACACTGTGTTGCGAAGCGCTTTTGAGAATTGATCTACCTGCTTCAGCCAGGCTGCCCAAATTTCGGTCTCAACACTGGTCAAAGATCCCACCTTGCGCACTGCAGTATGCTGGTGCTGCACAGACAGAAGTAGCTCCATTGTCCATCCTACCTCCTGTTCTGTCATGAAGAAGACGGAGAGGGTGTTCATTTGTCCAACACCGTACTGAGATGGCCTCAGTGTGTCAGTCAGCCAAACCCTGTAATTCCACGCCTGCACAGCAGGGTTCCCTGCGCAATGAAAAAGTCGCTCAGCTTGCCAAGGACAGACAGCGAGCCCGCGTAGTCGCTACCAAGCTCTTCCCTGAATGCTGGTGATGACTGCTCTGAAAGAATCGGCTATCACATGCTGAGGCTGGAACAAGCAAAGAAGTGTTTGCCGCGGTGCCGGGCAAAAGGACAGTTGCTGGGTTGAAAGTTGTTTATCCTTCCAGGAACTGCAACTTAATTTGGTGCAGGCCGATCTCGTGAAATCTACCCTCGCTCCTGGATTGTTTGCGAGGGAGTATATCCATTGTGCACAACTCCCAAAGACCACGTGTTCAGCGGGTCCTCAGCTGGTCACTACATTTGGACCGGTCTGATCTGAGCTGTTACCATGCCTTTTCATCTGACAGCTTCAGTGCTTCAACCCGACGGTCTCTGCTACGTCCTGCTAAGCAGGGCCAAGCTGCATCTCGTTTGAGAGCTGTACTTGGATTGTCAACGATCAACTCCACGAAGTATACCTCTTCAGCAGGTTGTCCCGACAGGTCACACATGCTACACAATCACGTAAGGTCAATACAGTTCTGGCATAGACGATCATGTCCTGATAGCAATCGCCAGCACACACCATCACTATCCTCTCTCGGGTTGAGTTTCTCGCCTGTAGCAATGTGAGTTGGCACATCACATCCGGCGTCGCCTGATCGTAAAACTCCACTTTTTTTCTGTCAGCTCACTTCTCCAGTAAGCTGCCAACGGGAATGTTACGGTATCTCACTTCGGTGAGCTTACCACCCTGGGCAAGGCGAGTGATACCACATGAACTGACGGATGAGTGCTTCTTCCAGAGTTTCTTGAGTAGCCTGCCAGCCGGCCCTTGGTCGATGGGAACAAGTTTGCCAAGAGCCCCAGATCCGGAACCTTTTCAGCAATGCTCTAGTTCGACAATACTAGAGCCCAAAAAGCAAGAAGATGGTCTCTTGGCACACCTATCTAGGTGCAGCACGCTACCACCTTGCTGGGTCATTGCACATGAATAGCCTGAGTTTGGAGCCGGAGATGCAGAACTGAAACCAGCTGAACTGGAAACTCAGGTTGCAATAGGCTCGCACCGACTGGAAGCTTGAACTGGATCTCCACCTTGGTAATTGAGTGTTGCCGTTCATGGCAGCGCGTCTACTTGACTGCAACTTGGCCTCTCACCAAGTTTCCAAAGCCATGGAACGTCGTCCCGAAAGCGATCCGAGCGTAAATCCTTGAAACAGCGGGAGCTACAAAGCTGGCTTCAAGATATTAGGGATATAAATTAAAGCTATATCGAGGTTGCATTAAGGTTATATTAAGGTTATGTTGGGTTATAGTGGAGTTATACTAGGGTTATATTGGATTATATTGGGGTTATATTGCAATGGAGAAAGAAACGGACTGCTTCATAGCTCCTGTTGCCAGTGTCGCCTTTGAATGGCGCCTGGTTGCCATCTCCAACCTCGGCCGATTTGATCCGTGAATCTGCCAAAAAGCCTTCTGGACAGGGGACAGATCTATAGGCTAATTGCCCCTTTGCAAGAACTCCCTTAGGCTTTCAAGCCTCAGATCTCAAAACTCGTGCGCAACTGGACGGAGCGAAAGCGTCCCTCACATAATTGTTTTGGCCGATTGGTATCTTGTATTGGAAAGACATCTACACATGACCAGTGCGAGGGTGCATTTGCGCACAACTGAGAAGCCAACCCTTGACACGAGTGATGCTGCCAGAATCTGGGGCTTTTTATAGAGGCGCGCACCTGTGAAAGAACTGTTGCACACACCCACATGATGCCCACATGTCAAATGTCAAAGAGTCTGTCTCAAACAGCGCTGTTGAACTGCAAGAAAACTGTGCTGGTAACGACGTCATAGCTCAAGCCGCCTCCGCCATCGACTGTTGCAACTGCAAGCGCCTTCACGCAAGATTGCCATGTGAGAACAGGTGAAAATCTTGCCTAACGATCTGCTGCACCTTCGGGATATCCCAATAATCCGGCGCGAAACCATCATCCTTCGTTATCCTGAAAAGTCTCGACGCTTTGTGTGGTGCTGACATGCCGTTCAAGAGACCCAGCCCTATTAATGCCCAGCTGGACACGGTGCACTCTGGGGTGGCAGCTCAGCTGTAACAACAGACGGAAAAAAGCCACCAGCTGGTAGGGGCAAGTTTCCAATCTGGCAGAAGCACTGCTCAGCTACCTGCAAATCAGCAAGAACAAGACACCGGCCTCCATGGCCAGCAAGCTTGTATCTGTGACATCCGCCATGATGTTCGGCAAGATAATCCTCAGCCGCTAGACTCTGACATGAACGTGACTGTGCGAAGGCCTAAGGTAAGAACTTCAGCGTGTTGATGGGCCACGAAGCAATGCCCACAACCGTTCCTGCAGGCTTGCAGTCTATGTGGACATCTCCGATGCAATGCTAGCAGAACAAAGCGTTTCTGAGATAGGAGCCACCAACGACGGATTCTGGCTGGCAAATAGGACTGGAGCCTCATCGACGACAAGGCCAAGAGACCAAGAGTTCTCAAGGCCTAGTGCCTTGAAACCTGATGGTGCAGACAAGCCGCAGACACCACCAACGGCTGGTGGTGTGCAACCGCCAGCATAGAAGCCCACCTTGAACCATTCGTGAAGTGTCATCAATATAGAACTGGTACATCCCCCGTCATCCAGGGAGAAGTGGCTGCACTGTCTTTGACCGGCCTGGCAGGACGGGCCGATGTTCCACTGCGTCAGTGGATGAAGCCACAGACGCAGCACTGACTGCCTGCCATTTGTCAGGGCGCTTTTGCGAATTAGCTGGGCAAGTGCTGCATCCCAACATCCCAGATGCAGGCTTCAGACTTGTCAGGTGCTTGTATCCGTCTGGTAGCTTCAGCAAATGCCTCCTAATGTGCAGCCGTGAAGCTTTCTTGGAAAGCAACTCCCCGTAGTTTTCTGAGATTCCTCGTTGCTTGACTTCATCGCTTTGGCTTCAGGGTCGCCGCAGATTGCTTTTTTCACCCAAGACCACACTTTGTTCGACGTTTGGCTCCGCAGTTGACGACGCCTTCCAAAGAACAAGCCAGTCTATCCGAGCTCACTGGCAAACAGCAACCAACGCAACTCTGAAAACATATCTGGGCTTTACAAAGCGACAACATGCCATGTTGGAAAGTTCGTTGTGCTCATGTTCTTTCTCATCGTGGCTTCCGCACTAAACTCACAAAATGCTACGTAGGCTTCATGCGGACAACTGGAACCCTCAAGACAGTGATCTCCCCTTTCTTGTGTGTGTGAGTTTCTTTTAAGGGTGGGTGGTGTTTTGGGTCTCCATATGTCACAAAACACATCTGTCCGGGTACAATTCTCTGACAGATTGCTGACATTCTGGTGACCATTTGCCGGGTTCCAGGATCTTTTGTCTCGCTTTGCCTGCCTTCATGCGGGTGCCTTTGCCGAGTTCCTTGACTGCGTGGACATTGCTAGGGTTTCCAGACTCTGTGTCTCCCTTCGTCTCTTCAGGCGGCCTTGGCCGGGTTTCTGAACCTCTTAGACTCTTGTCTCCCTTTGCCTTCCACAATGTGGGTGGCCTTTGCCGGGTTCCTTGACTCCTCTCCCTTTGTCTCCCTCCATGGGGCTCGGCTTTACCAGATTCGGGTTACTATATACTCCCTGTCTCCCCTTGTCTCCCTTCATTTGGGTGGCACTTGCCAAGTTTCTAGACTTCTTGTCTCCCTTGTCTGCCTGCATGCAGGTAGCTGCCTCCTTGTCTGCCTGCTTCTCCCTTGTGCTGATGGCCCTTGCTGGGTTTCCAAACTTCTTGTCTTCTTTTGTCTTCCCTCATGTAGATGGGCATTGCCGTGTTTCTAGATCATGTGGGTGACTTCTTGTCTCCTTTCTTTCCAAGGGAGCCCCAAGCATGTCGGCTACCAAGAAGCGGATGAGTCAAGATACAAATTCAGAAGATTGCAAGGGGAGATGCGAGAAGGATGTGTGACTTGGTCTTCCAGACGTCGAAAGCGTTGAAGGGTGTGATTGACATGCCGTGGAACGACCTCGTGGACCCCACACACGTCCACACGCAGGAAAAAGGGAAGTGGACGGAGAGATTCTGGCGGATGGCTCCCAATGCAGAGTGCGGCACGCTGAGCCGGAAGGCCAGCATGAAGAAGCCGAAGTCGCAGGGCAAGGAGTGGCGGCGGAGATGGACTTTGTTGGGGATGGGGCGACCGTACACTGGCGAGCCCTCACGCCTCCGTCGCGGTCAAAACCCGAAAACTGAAGGGAACTCTGGGCTTGGACTTCCGAACTGTATGGTTGAGAAGTTGCAAGCAACTTCGCCCGACTGTGAAGCAAATGGGTCAGCCACTATGTTAGTGTGACTAGCCTAGCTAAAGAGTTCCAGGCGGAAGGGAAAAGCATGAGGCAAGAATGAGCAAGGTGCTGCACAGACGACTGGGGCTCAGAGAGGAATGGCAATTCGTTGATGCAAAAGTGAAGTCTCCACCTTCGGCTTTGGGTTACAGAAAGGTTGGTATGAAGCTCCTCAAGGGGGAAGTTGTGGAATAGTTCTCATGCGACAGAGGGCTCTCTCACCGCAAGGCATTATTGCTGCCTACGGGATCTCGGAACGAGGTGAGGCGGACATCAATGAGTCTGATGGGGATCGTGCCGCGACCTGAATCCAAGGTGAACTGCAAATTTTGAGACCCAAGGAAAGGATTTCAAAAGGCAACCCTTTTAAAATCCTTTCCCAGCTCAGCCTTGAAAGATATCCAGAATCCAAATTCTTACCAAATCTGGAATCTGAAGCCGCTTAGTTTTATTAGAAACCTTGTTCTCGAAAGCTTAAAATTCCCAGACCGAGACCATCCCTGTTTAAATCAAATCCTTCATGATGTAGTCCCCACACCCTTACTACCTAAGACAGACCTCTGGGGCTCATTCAGAGTCTCGAATTGTTATCTTTCTGGAGGCCCTGTTGTTAGGGGGGAGGAGGGGGGGGCCTATAGAGTTTGAAGACACTCCAACATTACCTGCTTCCGGACTTGCGCTTCCTGATCCTCCTCTCCCTGGCAGGTGCGAACCAAAACCAGTAAATATCGGAACTGCTAAAGGGAATATCATGAACTCTGGTAACGAATATCGGAACCGCAAAAGCCGAACATCTACGACGTTCATGCCGTGAACCAGGAATAAATATTGGAACCATTTAAGATCGAACATGAACCGGCAAAAGCAGAAATCAGTCTTCAAATCTAAAACATTGAGGACGTCACTTTGCTAAAAAGATGCAAGTACCAGGGATGCAGAGAACTTCGGAGCGAAGTTCCATGCTGCAATTGAATGCTGAGACTGCTCAGAAACCTGCGCCCACATCAGCCTCATTGTATATAAGTGCGCATCATGAGCGTGCCTCTCATTTTGTGGCAGGATGGGAGGGGTTGGTTTCAACAGAATGTCCCTTTGTGGTTTAAGAAAATGTTTACAAGGAAGTGCGCCTTACAAAATGGCCCCAAAGCCATGCCTCCTCATCTCCTGGCGTAGTGAGAGTGTAGTGTTTTAACAAATTGTCGCCAGGGCCGTGCCTCTTCATCATGAAAGGGAGGGTTTTTAAGGAAAGGCTTTCAGGGCCGTGCGTTCACGTCACAGGATGATGGGGAGGGGGGGCATAGAACGAGTGCAAGAAACACACATGTCTCCAGTCAGCTTCGCCTCTCGCTCCTCTCACTGTAAGATCAAAATGATGGTGGGGTTGACATGTATCTCCACCTTGACTTCCCTCGCTTGATGCATTCTTCCAGTTGCCAGGCAGAACGGGAAAGTGAATTAGCCCTTCAATTCAGTAAGTGCGCAGTGGCGTTTGCCTTCTTGTCGGTTCCCCTTGTTGATGGTTCGCGAAAATTGGCTTTCCGGTTCGTGAAACTGGTAATTCCTTTTGGCTCGTGAAATTCGCCTCTTCTGGTTGGTGAAATTCGCCTTCTGGTTCATGAAATTTGTCTTGCGATTCGTGAAATTTGCCTTCTCGCTCTTGATATTCGGTAAGGTTCGTGATGTTCGAGATACCCTTCCTTGACGCCTCTGGTCTCCACCTGCGTTTGTATAGACAAGCGCTTCAAGGAACTAAACGTAACTAAACACAATTGTCCGTTGAAGAGTCTTCTGGCACGGGGCTGACAAACCATGGGAGCCGTAGCAAGTAGGCAGGGGCACGGCTTGATTGGGTAGCCGAGCTTCGCCCGAAGTTCAAAGGCAAAGGCCCGCACCTGACAGCACAAGCGTACATTGAGCATCAACAGCCTTGAGTAGCTTCCTAAAGCGTTCACTCTTTCGGGGCTCTGGCGTTGAGCAAATTGCCATTTGCTTGTGGGCACTTCAGGTCAATAGGTGATCTGCAGAAACCTGAGGACATCAACTCATGCCAGTCTTCCATTGGAGGATCTGTCGCGATCCAGTGCTGAGTCATCAGCTCAATGCCGGATCAGGCGGCACACCATTGCCGCCATTTCCACACTCCTCCAATATCAAAGGCTCAGCAATTCCATTCGTGTGGACAGCCCCTGCCACTTTCTACACGCTTGAAAACTATCAAAGACCAGCCAGGCGACCTCTTCGCTGAAGCAGACTTTGCAGGCGTTGTCTACTGTTGGTGACACGCTGGGATTCTTCCTTGGTGCCGCCATGACACACTAATGAAACACAAGTGGCACATCAATCTTCCTAGTCCCCTGCTCATCATGCGGGATGCAGAAAGTCAGCATCTCCTTCAGATGCACGTCACATGCAGACACTGTGACTAGGAGGGCACTTCATTACACCACCCGACTTGCAGAACACAAGCTTCCTCAACGAGGGCCCCATTTGTGCCAAGCAGTCTGAATCCCCGAGGAATGGCACCCTCATCATGGAATCCTTGGGAGCGCAATAGCTAAACAGATCTCACAACTTTTGCACCCCTGAAGATCTGAAGTATTCAAGGCCCGCACGAGGGTCACCCACCTGGCTGAATTGCTCCGCCTGAAAATCAGACAGCAGGAAGCAGGATGCAGCGGCTCTCAGCAAGCATGCCCAGTATCTGAGCCACCCGCGCCAAGCGTGTCTCGCGGCGGCACCCGTGTCTCAGGTGCAGGGTAAGCCTGGCTTCTTGGAAGACACTTGAAAGTCTTGCCACTGCGCCACAAAGAAACCAGCATGCAGCACAGCACCCTTCTCAATGACGCCAAACGGATTGTTGAATGCCTGCACTGGTCCACACGAGAGGGCTTCAGTTGCACACCACAACTTTGGCAAGCTGACGCTTGATTTCAATCTTCACGCAAACTGGCAACAGGCCAAGATCCTGGCATCATCCATTGACCAGACCCAGACTGCTCCATCTGCTGGGAAATCAAATCTCAACTCCTGCACACTCCATGCGATGAACGGTTTGATCACATGTGGACTCAACGGAAAGGCATTCCGAAGGCTCCCCAAGGACGTTCATGTTGGTCACGGCCATGTACCTGTCCAATTCAGCTCACTCATGATTTCAAGGTGCACATGGACGATGAGCCAATCGGATCTGAGGTCAGCTTGCTGATGCAAATCGTCGGGGCCTTGTGTTCTTCTTAAGATGATTTCGTGCACTGAAGAGGATGTGTAGCCTTGGCAGTTTCAATTCAAGATCTCTGCAGCCAAGCAGTTTCTAAGACTTTGACTGCTTCACAATCATGGTCGGATCTGTGTCGTCCTCGAAGATGTGCTAATGCTGCGGATATATTCCGACTCTGCTTTTGGGCATGCCATGCAGCAGCGTCCTCGCTGTAGTAGCACCCATCTGGCATTGGGAAACCGTCAGGGTCCTTCATGCAGAGTCCAAATGTTCGCAACATCTCGTCCAACTTGCAGCTTCGTACTTCGCATGCGCAACCATCCTCTGACCACAGTTCGACAAAGATCTTTCCGCAGAAGTCTTGACGAGCCTGCGCTGGCTTTATATGGCGGTCGTAGGGCTGCATCACAAGTAGAAATTTGACTTCCGAGTTCTGCCAAACTCTCAACCCAAGCTGTGCTGCTTCTGTTTGCACTGGCCTCCAATGGCTCGTCGATGTCCGCAGACGGTACCAAGGGCTGGCGTTGCAAGGGATGACTTTGCATACAGCCCTAGCTTGTGGATTATTCTGGGAAGTCTGCACTTTCCGGTTCAGCGTGCCATCATAGCTGAAAGTTTTGGAGCGGGGGTCCAGCAAATTTGTGTGCAGATTGTGGAGAAACCTTGAGCCCTTTCTTTAAAAGCTTGAGGCTTTCAGTCCAGATAGTCCAGAAAGCCACACATCACAGGCCTGAGTTGGAAAGGCAAGTCTTGGAAAATCATCAAGGGGTTTCGGTCATTAGAAGAGGCCAAACCTTGACAAAGGAACGACATTTGCCATCTGCGAATCTACTTGTGAAAGCTGCAGGCATTTTTTCTTTAATCAGGAAGCATAAGCTCTGAACGCCCTTTGCACTGCCGAGCTGTACATCCAGCATGGGTGCAGCGGACCAAAACAAAACGTAAACTCCGACAGCACTGTTCTTGTTGAGCGTGTCAACAGAATCTTGCTGGTTCCAGGCGTGCAAGCGGCTGTGCCGGCGCAATATTGCCACCGCGATCAGCCGGCTCTTTGTGAGTTCTTCCCAGCTGCTTTTGGAGAATTGCCCCGTGGTACTTGAAATCTTCTCTGCAGACACCCACAGAGACAAGCTGTTGTTCTAAGGAGCCGAAGCTTGCATGCCGCTCCGCTTCATGTTGCAGTCGCTGACAGCTGTCGCATCCATGCGCAAATGTCACGCATGACGCTGTCTTTCAGCTTGGGCTCTGCTAGAAGATTGTGAAACCCATTGGGGTATTGCAAGAATTCAGACAAGGCAGACTTTGATGCCCGCACCACCAACATGTGACCAGCTTCTGTTACAACCTTGTCTCCAGTGCCCCAAAGCATGAGCACTGGCATTGCGAGATCGCCAAGCCGGGCTGGGAGAGCTTCTTGAAGTCTGAGTAGTTCCAAGATGTAGCCTGGCGTTAGCCTTAGTCGGCCCCCAACCTGGGGCACAGTGGCAATCGAACAAGGATTAGCTAAGGTCACCATGCATTTTGAGCCATGGGGTATCTACATCCTAGAAGTGTCACCCTTGGCGTAAACCTAGGCCGAGAGACTTGCCTCGACTGACCAAAGGATCCTGCTCCCAGGTCTTCAGGGCCTGCGCATCATTCACAATGAGCTTTGGATCGAACGGGGGCTTGAGGCCCAGCTTTGGTGCACAGGTGGCGATGGCCTTGACCAGCATCCTTGCAATAGCGGATGGCTTCACAGCGGGATCAATCTGGAACGCCCCAGACAAGCCAATGAAACCAGTCCAGTTGTGGTGCTCTGCAGCTGTCCATGCAGCAAAAAGACCACCGATACTCTTGCCCAGAAGGAAACGCGATGAGACATGGTCATATGGAGAACCAGATCCGTGAATACGCTGGTAATCGGACAATATGTCACCCATGAAGGTAGTGACGCTGTCCACATAGAGCGGCTCACCATCACTGCGTCCCCAACCACGCATATCAGAGGCAAATACAGCCACCCCCTGCATGGCTAAGCTTTGCCCCAACTCTGCATACACCCCTGAGTGGTCCACTGTGCCGTGCACAATCATTAATGTTGCCCACGTCAGGGACTTGTCACGAGGTTGCCATGCTCGCGAGAATAGCCAGAGACTGTTGTCAAAGGAGCGCGTGAACTGGCAGGACGTCTTCACCTTTCCTGTGGGACATTCGTCATTAGAATCCGGCGGAGGATGATGTGCAGAATACTTCACAGCAAGGTGTGATGGCAAGCTGGCGCGGCAACAGCATTGGCCCATGTTGGGCTGCGCAGCGTACTGAACACTCAACCTCAATCACCCTGAAGCTATACGCAAGCCGAACGCGTGTCTATACATACAATATCTCTCTCAGCAAAGCATCCAGATGCACGCAGCCTTCATCTCATCTCAACAAGACATGCAGGCCCCAAGGCAGCAAATAATCTTAGACTCGGAGGCCTGAAAAGTGACCAAGCAGGCATCAGCCTTGCCTCCAAAAGATTGGTTCGTGGTAACAAGACTTCCTTGGCAAAAAGGGCTCCGAAAATATACTGCGTTGCAACAAGATGTCGACTGCAGCAAATTCCAGCGCTATTCACTCAGTGCACGGCTCTCACAACCGGATTTCCTGGAATGCTGTCATCCCTCAGCCAAGCATATGAGCTCCTAGATTGCCTGAAGAACTGCGAGAATCCAAACAGGCTGAGATGTCAACAATCCAGGCATGATTTCGAACACCAGGTGCTGTTGACCTAAAACATTCTAACCACTTTATGTCTGAGTTAAAGCTTCTGTCACTGTTTTGTACTACCTGTAAGGCGTGTGCCAGTTGCAGTTGCATAGTGTGCCACGTCTCCAGTCCTGGCACAGAATTGCACAGAAAATCCATCTGCCATGGCAGCTCTGCAGTGCAAAGCACTGTCACGAACGCGATGGCAACCGGACTTCCAGGAGCCGTTTGGCCAGGGGACTGATCCTGAAACTGCTGATGTCAAAGACGAGCAAATGACTTTGCTCAGCACAGAGGACCGCACGGGCATTATAGTTGTCAGACCAAGGTATGCTTGTGGCATGGCGTTCCTGGCAAGACTAAGGCAGCGCATCTATACCAAATTTCCGATAGCTATGGATGGTCATGACCAAAGTGAAAGCGGGAAAACAATTTCAGCCCGGACGACGGCATCTTGACCGTGATTGAGCCAGCCTGCGTCGGGTTCACTTGCAGCGCTTACACTGCGCTTACATTTGTGAATCCATCAAGCCTGCCCCACGTAGCTTGTGAAGGCAGTGGCTGCTAGGCCGCAGTCGTCACACCTCACATCTGGAGTAATCAGGACTAGCAGTGGGCCGCTACTTCTTGTTGAAAACAAATGGGTCTGGAATTTTGGATGTTCGCAAAACATTGTACGAGGCTAAAACTTCAGCAATAAACACTGCAGCAACGCTCGAATCGAGATAATCGAGCAGAGCACAGCAAGCACCTGTTCAAAAGATTGGCGAAGCTGTACTCACTTTGTCATTCAGGGCACGTGTGCACTCCACGGAGTGCATACTAGAGAGGGAAGAGGGCGTCCTGATGCAACAACTGTGCATCATGCTATTGATAAGGGTATGGTACACTACAGAGGGAGTAGGGAGGTTTCATACCACTGTCACAAAGCCTCGATTCCGGTCATCTCAAAAGACTTGATCTCGACCCACCCCCACCCTGCATGGAAGCAATAGCTTGCTGCCTTCCAAACCTTCTCTGCTGCTGCAGCAAGAGACAGCTCATGCTTGGCTTAGCTATATTTCGTGGTCAGAAAAACGACAAAAACCAGCAGGCCTGACAACTTCACATGACGCTTGTTTTGGGAGTGTGCTTGACATCGCCCGCTGCACTGGCTTCCTACGAAGCCCATGGGCTTTCGGACCGGGCAAGGCTAAAAAAACATCAGCTTGACAGTGCGGACGCCATCAGGGTCCTCAACCTGAATTGTTTGTCCCCAAACCCTGCCTTGAACACCCCCAAGCCTATGCAAACATCAATACACTGAAGGCCTAGACCCCAAACTTAGAACCTAGACCTGAAAACCTTACGCCGAAACAGGGGTGATTTTTTGTGATCAGTTGGGGAATTGGTGCATGTTGCGGAATTTTCGCGCTTGCATCTTGATCATATTAGACGTGTTTCGGTGTGCAGAAGGGAGGTGAGCATGCCAACACCAAAGATATGCATTCAACAAACACCGGACCAGATGCATGCGCGCAAAAATGCTACTGGCTTGCAGCTACGCGCAGGTCAACTGGCATTTTTCAATGCAAACCTGTTGGAGTAGGACACTCTAGGCTCGGGACCAACACACAACATAGCCCCTTCCCTCAGGTGACTGGGCACCGTCTGCTACCTTGCGAAGGAGTTAAAGCCGGTCCTCCGTGAAACAAGCGACAGTGGCTGCCTTGATCTTTGTGAACGTCTCCTTCGACGTGCGTGACCACCTTGGAAGGCTCAAATCTCATTTTTGCGGGAAGTTCAAAGAGGAACAAAGTTTTGAGCAGCACATCATGTGTTCAAGCATTGCTGAGGCTACTTCGCAACGCTCGGGACATTGGGAATGTTGGGAAATTCAGCAGCAGCGAATCTGACCGGAACCAGTATCTTCCAGCCTGAGGCACCACATCAATCTCTTGCAGCTCATGCCACTACTTCGGAACCATCAACCTGCAAACATCTCAGCTGGCAACACTCTGCCACGTCATCATCACAAGACACGAACACCTGCAGCAACAGCAAGGAAAGCGACCAACCACATCTTAGTTCTATGTTGCTCCACAACTGCACAAGCCCAAAAGCTGCAAATCTGAAAAAAAACAATTATGTAGGGTCTGCGATCTAGAAGCTTCTTCGAAAACCTGACAACCTCAAAATACGCCTGTCAGGCCAAGTGTTTGCACTATGAAACTGGCCTCGTGCACTGTGTTGTACATGTCTGCGCGCTTGAGCGCCTTACTACTTCTCGCAAGCATACTGCGAAAGTGCCATGGTCCATGGGTCCATGAGGGCGCAGACCAAATTTCGAGCAGCGAGGCTGGTGTCCGTGGGGTCTGGATTCACACCTCATTCCAGAAGCTACAGGACGGAGCGATGTCTAAGGGATGGTTGTGAATACTGGGAAATCAGACCCGGCCTGACAAACGAACGCGGTCACCATCCTTCAGACCATGGCTCCTGCACACATGATAGGATTTGAAAAGACCAAGGAAGAAGGGAGTGAGCCTGTCAAAGGAGATCTCCGTGCCCATGTCAGACCAAGCCTACTCCCCGCACAAGAAGGCATCATCACGGGAAGAAGAGTGGGCAGGAGCACCATCGTTGTCAGCTTGGAGTTGGTGGTTTCGCGAGTGTGGAGGGTCGCTTGCCCCACCTGAGTCAGCCAATGCGGAAAAAATGGCGTGAGAAACCCGCTCTGTTGAGTTCAGATGCTAAATGAGAACTTTCAAGCACCGGACCCTGATTGTATCATATAGTTCGAGGGATGAGTGCTGGCCATGGCACGAGTACGCATTGGGTGTGGAAAGAAGTATGGAGTCAACTCTGTGGAACGGATTTGGCCCCGTGCACTTGTTCCGCACCAAGCATATTCAGAAACTCCCAAATGGGGATCTGCTCTAGACTAGGATATCCTCTACTGCTCTGCTCATCCACTCACGTTTCCAGCTCACACAAATTCCTCAAGTCCTGAAGGCATCAAGACCCCTTACCGTCAAGCTGTTTGGAGTAAAGGATCATCAGCATTACAGCAGAGACAAGCAAAAAAATGTCCCTTTTGGAAGCACTTACCGTAGCAAACAAAGGTAGTCTGAGGCTATGGCGGGGCCGTTAGCATTTGCAGTTGGCGCCACGTTCCCGCAGTCTTGCGGCCTCATGCTTCACTGAGACTCGAGCTGTGGCACGCAAGGGACAGTCTGCCCTGGCACTGTCGCTCGTAGGCCCCGGCTGCTGGGAGGTACTCAGAATCAAGGCCTGCCATTTCAAAACAATCAAGTACTGCCCAATGCCACATTGCGCTGAGAGATAGAAGGGCAGACTTGAGGTGGGGACCCGGTTCGTGTCCTGCAGGTCGTATCCCTCCACATCGATGCTGAAGGTCACGCCCGTATACCTGCCAAACCGCCACAAAATACTCCTAGGATCTGATTGTTTTGCACAGCTACAGCAAATCTGCTTAAGTTGCCATACCTCGTCCACGTCTGCCTTGCAAGAGGTCCGGCAACCAGTTCACCTCAGGCGGGGGAAGGCCTAGAGCTGCACTAAAGCTCTGAGGTCTCTTGAATCAAACCCTCTCTAAGTTGCGAACGACCGAACACGGCCCAGTTGCTGACTTCGTTGCCTAGACATCAAGATGATGCCCAGCAGCACAAGAAGAATCACACACCAGGCTGGCCCTGTCTATTGGAGGATCAGACGCACTGGGGGTGAAGCAATTAGAGTCACAGTAGCAAACTGCGTACCACCCAGGCCTTCGGAAGCAGCATGCCATGAAAAACGTTATCCAAAACGCAAGCCAAAGTGCAAACACCAATTCTGTCTGCCACTCTGACAACATTGACTGTTCAGCACGAGAGGCGTTGAAATGCGGATGTTGGCCGCACACACTGGAGGGTCCTGAGCAGAATCCGGCGCGCATGAACAGAACAAGGCTGCTGGACTGGATACATCTCCACGTTGACAATACGAGCGAGGCACCGCCGTATTGCATACCAACCCATACAGCTGCCCACGAGGGCGACCAGGATCTTGCGCCTCTGACAGCACAAATGCATGTTGGTGCCACCAGTTAGACGTCACATGATGCCATGCACACTGCCTCTAGGATGGTCTGCGGCTGCGTGTAATCCGTGTTGCCACTAATCTTGGACATGCATAGACATGATGCTGGCGTTTGTTGAAGTGCAACTTTCTGGGAGGCAGCATTTGAGGCCAACACCAAGCGGTGCCCAGAGATACCCAAAGGCTGCTCGGTATTCAGGCAAGACTCCTTGTCCACATTCCCGTCCTGAGCAGAAGTGCAGTGGAAAAGTGTTGTGATGCGCACAAAGACTTACCAGGCCCTTGCATCATCTCTCAAGAATTTCATCTCCCTCGTCTTCGCATCGGTGCCGCCAGTCCAGCCTAAAAGCTCAATGTCTGGTAGGCATGGAGACAGTGGTTCCAGAAAGAAATCCAAGGAAAGGACTGCCCTGTACTGGAGATGCATCCGTGCCTTTTCCAAGAATGACCAGCAATCGCCCTGACACAGGCACCGGACTGTGGAAGGCCATCAGTGTGCTCATCGTGTTTCATCGTGTTCCATTCGGACCATGCAGGAACGCGCCTGTGTTTACGATGGCTGGCAGCTCACCATAAGAGCCTGTTGTGTAGTCCTCAGGAGCTCCAGCAATGTGGACACTGAAGCGTCTACAACCATAGGAGGCGCTTAAATTGTGAGGCATGAGCAATAGTGAAATGGCTGTCGACGGGCTCAACGTCCAGGGTGCCAGCCTCCGAGGACAATCCAAATTCTCACTTGGCTTGAACGATCTTAATCAATCTGACATTGCCTTGAACCAGTACGCACTGTTGAGGCAGTTTTCATCGCAGTAGCAGATGTCATAGGTGGCTGCTACCATCACACGATTCTCGTAGCTCGCGTCAATCTGTACCTCAAGCCACATCATCAAGGCTGAGAGTCGAAGTATTATGTCAGCACAAGCTAGAACGAGGGTCTAACATCTAAAAATGTGGGAGCTTTTCCGCCCATCACATCCTCCGGCAGGTCATTGCCTCGCTCCGCATGGTAGAGCTGCTCGCAATTGACATGCGTGCAACCTGATTACGAGAACCCTGAGATCCCGAGCAAGTTGAAGGCCCCACACAGTTGGCCGGCCCCAGGTGTCCCCCCAACACCTGACATTCACTGCGCATCTGCTTCCCGATGCTTCAGGTCAGACACGGTCGCACCGGCAAGGAACTGGATCACAAAATGATACCACGTGATGCCCTGCTACACGCTAGCCTTGACGTGAGTAATACAGTTGGTGCTGGTTTAGTTTGTTGTGTCTCTTCAGCACGCCGTGGCAACGTCGCTCGGGCACACCTTGGCACCATCCAGAGTGGTCACTGCCTGCGGCAGAAATCGGCCTTGGATGCAGATTCAGTTAAAGAATATTTCCGCAATCAGAAGGCTGTCATTGCTCAGGAACGTACAACCTGCATCTGGATCGTAGTAAGGCTGCAGAGTCAAACAGTGGAAGTGGAAACAAATCAAGACAAACACGAATCCCGCGACGCCACAATCCTTGCCGCAAGAAACAAGCAAACTTGGAGCCTTGTAGCTCTCTGAAGAAGAGCGGATGATTTTGTATCTCGCCGTCTCGCCGGTCTGGCCAGCATGTGCTCCCATCACCGAAAATAACGCAGGATGCGAAATGCGCATGCGCAAAGCTAAATATTCTTTCTCTACCAACTGAAGCTTGCCGGCTGCACGGAGCACCCACCGGAGACAGAGTCAGGCTCTCGGTTCTGAACACCGTCATGCCCGCAACTTGGCTTTCAATGCTTCGAAAAACGCTCAGGCAAAAGGCGCTAAACAAATGCATCGTCTCAGTGACTGACTTGATGACGAGACCAAATCGCAAAGTGGGGTACACAGTGATGTCGGTCTAAGGTTCCAGACATGCTCATGCAACATCATCAACGGAATCAGCAACTGGCAGCTTTCCATAATTGCACTCTCTCCACCCACTTGCATAAGAAATCTGCAATGCCTCGAAGGCAAGGCAAACAGGATTGAGCGCCAGACGCTGCCAGCCTGTCCCATTAGGGATTGAACCTCTGCCAAGCACAATGCACACTGAGAGTTGATCGGAGCGTGTTCACTATGTCCAGTAAGATTGGAACGTTTATCACAATCATAAGACCAATCTCTTGTGGAAAGTCTTGTGGAGCCTCAGCAATCTCAGGGTTTGTCACTGGTCCGCAGGTGCAGACTTTACGAAGAAGATGGAGGCTTTCAAGTGCGCGACGGCATTGGAGCACACATTGACTACACCTGCAGAACATCAACAATAGATGGAGAAACACCAAGCCCGGGAACTGGTTCGGGTGCCTCCATCAGCAGCACCATTGTCGAAGTCGAACCCAGCACAGTAGCACACCTTCCAAACCTGAGCAGTGGAGTAGGGTGAGGGGGGATGCACATCACTCCACATGCAAAACTGTCAACCGCAGCTCCAGGTACAAAAGGCAGGAGCGGGCTTTTGTCCCTGCAGCGCGGGCAAGCCCAGTCTTGGGCTCATTTCGACGGATTGCGTTTTCCTTGCTTCTTTGCGTCCTTGGTCTTGCTGGGATTGTGTCAGGTTTGCTCGCAGGAGATTTTAAAGCAAAAACGCTGATCGTACGTCAATGCTGGGAGGGAAATGCCTGTGATGGGCATATTCTTGATTCTCGCAAGCAAGAACATCAGACAAAGTAGGCTGTTCTTACGCCTGATCCCGGCTTTGTCAAGCCTGGGATTAAGAAGCTAGAGTATGCAGCGGCGCGCAACATCCTTGCTGAGTCCATGCATACCCATCGAAGACCAGACAATTGTTGATGGACACAGCCGGCAATAGAGCAAAGATTCCATTGTCCAACGACGCTCTGCAGCAGCCACCACCAGGCGCAGAGGAATCCGAAGCTCCGCCTGCCAAGGCAGAGCGAGCGAGCCCAGGAGCCAAAAGCCTTTTACACCCAGCGCATCACTGCCTGACGCAGCCTGCGTGGGTTTGCACGAGTATGCACTATACAAGTTTGCATCACAAGAATCAGAGACAGATAGTATGGAAACAGAATTTCAACAACATCTGCAGTGCCTCAACCAGCCGCGACGTCGGATCAGGGAAGACCGCCGTCATCTGCACCCATCCCAACTCACCATAGGCAGAAAGATGCTTCAGGGAACTTTCTGCAGCAAGATCAAGCAAGCATCTTGAACAGCAGATACGAGATCTAAAAATCAAGCGCCTGGTCGCCCTTGAATAGACGCGACAAGGAGCTTTCGCTCACGCTTTCTGTGCGAAAGCCTGGCTTCCCAAGAGCAACAAATGCTTGGGAATCTTGGACGGCTCATGTACAAAAGAGAAATAACAAAAACCTACACCAACCAACAACGACGCTTGGACTTTGACAACGGCACGGCGTCGCGGAGAGCCAACACGATGGCAGTGAGGAAGCTGCATGGACCAGGAAGTGATTGAAGCAGGTGTTCCGCCAACGGTCGAAGAACGATTGGCCGAAAGCCTCCAAAAGCAAGCAGAACAACTTCCATACAACGCTGGGACCCAGTGAAAAGCTGGGTCTGCTGCCATTGCCTTCGTGCAGCCTCCCAACGCCTGCTGAAACGTCATCGGATGTTCCAAAGCGGTGGCCCAACGTCAAGTGCGGCCACGGGGCTCGGCAGCGGCATTTGGAAAGCTGGCCTGCAATTGTGGCGGGCCAAGGGTCACTTAGCCAACCAAAGCACGGGTCACTTAGGCAATCCACGATGCTGTCCTTCCCAAAATGTCTGCGCCCAGAGTGTTTAAGCCAACAATAACGCGGGTCAATTAGCCAATTCACGATTCTGTGAGAATTTAGGGTTTGAAGGTTTTGGGTGTAGGATTTAGGGGTTGAGTGTTGTGGGTTTTTTTTTTTTGTGGGACCTTTTCT